TCGAATTCGGAATACATATATGAATATATTTTTGGACCGCAGCAGACCAAGTTCAAGGTCGTGGCCTAATGCGAAACCCGAAGGCGTATTGAAACTCATCATAATAAAAACTAGACAATAATTAATGCGAATGGCCGACCCACGACAAAAGCGTCGACGAAGTCCGCAAATATCGTGTGCAAACAGAGAGAAACACAAATATTAGCGATGCTTGGAAACCCAAACAAAAGCAAACTGCGCAAATATGCGCGAGATCATGATGATGACGATCGTCCGACATTTATTCAGTGATTATTTTTTCGCATCTTGGCCCAAATCAGACGACAACGCACCTGTCCCTTTCCTGCACTGAGCACACAGCAATTAAATATATGTTTCCTTTGTTGAAAGGCGAAACAAAAAAGGGAGAGATTGCCAAAATAGAATGAATTTAAAGGAATTTATACGAACCTAAATATCTGAGGTAGGTTAAAGTCGGAATATTTAAAAGAAGTTTAGCAATTATATCCACTTATCCAAGACTAATAGGGTTAAAATTGTCAAAGGTATTGAATTTTTAAGGAAAAATTTATTTCTACAGATATATCTTTACAGTATAATTTAAAAGGTGTTACTTTTGGTTCATAACTCAACATCTGTATATATTTATTTGCGCTATCTAACTGGAGCTAAATTATTGTTACACCTTTTATCAAGACAAATCTGTTTTAAATATAAATATTCTTTAAGTATATCCTAAAGCGCAGAAAGTGAATCCCAAGTGAATCTTTTAGCCATAAACTCCCCTAATCTTTACCCATTTAAATATATCCTTTATTTTTGAAACAAAACCCCAAAAACTAGTCAATAATTTTAAAATAAATCAGGTCTTAAGAGCAATTATCTCATTACTTAACCATATACAGGTATATAAGTTGAACAACCGCTAATTCTTTAAACAAATATTGCGGAAATTGCGTAGTATTTGAACGTTTTATCGACAATTGTTTGGTAATAATGTTGTTCAACTTGTTCAATACAGAGAACTTAACACAAAAAACCTGTAAATCCTTGGCTTTATTTTAGAAAAACGAACTCAGGTAACCTAAACTGAAAAGGTTAAATGTACTTTGAAATAGTGAACATAACATCATTAACTGACGTTTGAATATTTTTGTGAAGAATATTTGAATACTTTGTAGCGGTATAGAAAGAAAACAGGTTAATAATTCTATATATCACAGGATATATGACAAAAAAAAACTGAATTAATGGTTAGAGAGCCTCAAATTAGCTTTAAATAAAACCCAAATGCACCTGCAATATCAAATATAACCCATTTTCAGCAGGTTCTCTAAGATTTCACATATTTTTGGGTAATTTTTAAGTACTTTTAGGATCAAGTCAACCCAAAACTTGTTATCCTTACTTGCGCATCTCGTTCATGGCATCAAAGGATCGCGCCGTATGCTGCTCATTGCTGTACTGTCCACGGTGCCCCGCTCCTTGCCATTCGGCCGCTGGACATGCTTCTGGCTGCTCTCGTCCAGCGAATTTGGCTGGCATAGCGCAAAAGGCAACTGCCACGGTCCAGGCCACTGCCCTCGGCGGCGGGATTCTGTGGCTGCTGCTGGTGCTGCTGTTGCTGCAGCAACCGATTGCGTTGTTGTATGGCTGCCACGCCCACAGCGACACCTAATCCGGGCGGCGGAGCCACAAACAGCTCTCCGCCCGCTTCGTTTCCCTGCTGCTGTTGCGGGTTCTGTGCCTGCTGTTGTTGTTGTTGCTGCTGCGCCTGCTGCTGCTGCTGCTGCTGTAGCGGTTGCTGGTTGCCATTGCTTAAGTTGCTCATAATACCGATTGTGTATTTGGTTAAAAGCGCACTCAGAGCTATCATTCAGCCGCGTTCTCGGCGCCAAATCGAAACGGACGGGAACGGAATCGAGCGGAAATACGGCTGCTTCAGCCAGAAAACCAATATAATCTATATGTTTAGCGTTTTAATTTTTTTTTTGCAAATTCAGTGTGCTCGCCTTGTTTTCCGAGAAAAAACACTGTATGTACATAAACAAGGGGGTTAATTTTGCCTGATGATGTTGGTCACACTTAACTACGTAAGTGACCGGAAGTATGGTCTTACGAAACGTAAATAAACAAAACGTAATATACATGTTTTGCATAAAAGCGTTTTGTTTTGAGTTTCTGTTATCAGTTTAAAGGCTTTTTTGACCTTTTCTAGTTTAATTTAAAGGGATGTTTAAAAAGTTGCTTTTGTTTTAATGGTTTCTATAGTGTACTATTTTACTAACAAATTTCACCGACAAATTGTCTTTAAATATAAATAAAACATAGGATGTTCTCAGAATGCACTTACAAATCAAAGTTTAAAAAACTCAAAACTAAGCCAAAATTCATTAAATTTAAATCGGAAAGCTTTCCTATGTTAGTTTTTATTGGATTTATAAAACTGCATACACAATTTAAAATTAACAAACATTTTAATTTTTGTTTATTTTTTTTTTTTTAATTTTAACCTCTAAAAAAATGGAAAAATTTCGAAAATTTATTTTTTAACCGGACATGGCTAAAACGATTCCACTGTTGATCCTGCTCAGGATTTATGGGGTCGGAAATCACTCCATCACTGTATTTAAAGCTTCGGACTAAAAGTATAATGGCATTCTTTGACCATTTTCATTAAGACAATCTTTTTGACAAATCAAATTTTAAAAAGTCATACCTAAGCCAAAACAGCGTTAAATTCAGTTAAGAAACCGTTCTTATCTTAGTTTTATTAGCTTAATAAATCTGCATACTAAATATAAGTTTTAATTAATGTACATTCTTGTCGATTTTTGAACATTTTAACGATGTTACCCCTTATCATATTTAACAACAAATTTAAAAAAATTCGAAATATTTTTTTTTCTGCCGCAGATATCTAAATCAACTCGGCTATTGATGCTGATCAAGAATATATATGATTTATAGGGTCGGAATTGATTTCTTCACTGCGTTACAAGCATCTGATTAAAATTAAAACACCCTACAAATTACAAACAAAAATTATAGGAATTACAAAATATTACCCAAAAAACTGCATTCCCCAGTAAAAGTTAAGTTAAGTTTAATGTCTGACCACCGAGGAGCATAGTTCACAACGATCACGCCTCAGACAGCATGCGTGGCGGGTGTTCGAGTGGCCCATAAATCCCAAATATCAAAGGAATGCACTGTCCCGATGTACATATTCCTGATACACAAATAACAATAATTACGCGCTAATCAGGCCACTAATCTAATTAATCATCTACGCCAAAATTCCAGCACTATCCAGTCAGTCCGTCTGCACGGGCATCGATTAGGAGTCGCCTTGGGCCACGATAAGATTCCGCAGAGCCCCAAATCACTCCCGCGAAGCCTATGAGACATAGACCCCCTATATAAGCAGCTGCAGCGACCCACTAAGAATCAGAGTGAAACTTAAGTTCCACCAAGAATCAGCATGTTTCTGGCCAAGAGCATCGTGTGCCTCGCCTTCCTGGCGCTGGCCAGTGCCCAGTTTGACACCAACTACGCCTCAGGACGCAGTGGCATGGTGCACCTCTTCGAGTGGAAGTGGGACGACATTGCCGCCGAGTGCGAGAACTTCCTGAGTCCCAATGGCTTTGCCGGAGTGCAGGTGAGGATCAGCTGTAACCCTCTCTCTCTCTCTCGAAGGCACTTCTATATCCTAATCCCCCATCAGGTCTCCCCCGTCAACGAGAACGCCGTGAAGGATAGCCGCCCCTGGTGGGAGCGGTACCAGCCCATCTCCTACAAGCTTGTGACCCGCTCTGGCAATGAGGAGCAGTTCGCCAGCATGACCCGTCGCTGCAACGCCGTTGGTGTGCGCATCTATGTGGACGTGATCTTCAACCACATGGCCGCCGATGGAGGCACCTATGGCACAGGCGGCAGCACTGCCAGTCCCAGCAGCAAGAGCTACCCCGGAGTGCCGTACTCCTCGCTGGACTTCAACCCCACCTGCGCCATCAACAACTACAACGATGCCAACCAAGTGCGCAACTGCGAGCTGGTGGGTCTCCGAGACCTCAACCAGGGCAACTCCTACGTGCAGGATAAGATTGTCGAGTTCCTGGATCACCTCATTGACCTGGGAGTGGCTGGATTCCGTGTGGACGCCGCCAAGCACATGTGGCCAGCAGATCTGGGTGTCATTTATGGCCGCCTCAAGAACCTGAACACCGATCACGGCTTTGCCTCGGGATCCAAGGCTTACATCGTGCAGGAGGTGATCGACATGGGTGGTGAGGCCATCAGCAAGTCGGAGTACACTGGTCTGGGCGCCATCACCGAGTTCCGTCACTCCGACTCCATCGGCAAGGCATTCCGTGGCAAGGATCAGTTGCGGTATCTGTCCAACTGGGGCACCGCCTGGGGCTTCGCTGCCTCCGACCGCTCCCTCGTCTTCGTCGATAATCACGATAACCAGCGTGGACATGGAGCTGGAGGCGCCGATGTGCTCACTTACAAGGTTCCGAAGCAATACAAGATGGCCTCTGCCTTCATGCTGGCCCATCCCTTTGGAACGCCCCGCGTGATGTCCTCCTTCTCGTTCTCGGACACGGATCAGGGTCCTCCCACCACCGATGGCCACAACATCGCCTCGCCGAGCTTCAACAGCGACAACTCCTGCAGCGGCGGATGGGTGTGCGAGCACCGCTGGCGCCAGATCTACAACATGGTGGCCTTCAGGAACGCCGTTGGATCCGATGGCATCCAGAACTGGTGGGACAACGGCAGCAACCAGATTGCCTTCAGCCGCGGCAGCCGTGGATTTGTGGCCTTCAACAACGACAACTACGACCTGAACAGCTCCCTGCAGACGGGTCTGCCAGCTGGAACCTATTGCGATGTCATCTCGGGCACCAAGAATGGTTCCTCCTGCACTGGCAAGACGGTGACTGTGGGTTCCGATGGACGAGCCTCTATTACTATTGGCAATTCCGAGGATGATGGTGTCCTGGCTATCCATGTCAATTCCAAGTTGTAAGGAGAAGCTACAGGGATTCAGGGATATATTATAGAACCTGAAACTTAAATTGAGATTATTAAATTTTAATGAAATAAAGAGAGTATTGCAAAAATATAACTGTGTTATTGTATATTAAATACGAATATTTAGCATTTTCTTAGGCAAAACTGTATCTTAAAATCTGACACCTTTCCTGAAGGACTTCAAATTAATGTCGAAAAGTATGCTATACAAAATGGATGCTAAGTACTTCTCAGCACTTGAAGCAACTAACAATAATTTCATCAAATCTGGCTCGAAAATTATAGATTATGATAGTTGCTCCTTTAAAAACATTAAAGACTTGGTAATCCAAATATAGTGAAGTAAAAATTTCCAAAATTAAAAACAGCAAATAACTTTTGCTAATATCTTGATCAACTTTATTTGTTTGGCTTTCATTTTTATGTTTGTTTTTTTAATTGTAGTTTTTTTTTGTAATTTGTATTTTTTGTTTTGTTTTGCAAATATTGATTCTCATGCTCATCAACATTTTTGGATATGTAAAATACATTTTGTAATTGGTATTTTGGGAAACAACTGCTTATTGAATGTTTACGAATAACAGCTACCACCTAGGTAGGAATACATGATTTATACTTGATTTAATTAAATATATTTATATATATGTATATATATATATAGCTAGTAGTAATATTTACAAATGATCTACACGTGTATAACTGATATATAAAAACAAAGCACTCGCATGGTAACGAAATCACTTCGAATAAATAAATTAAAATACGTGATATAATAGGTGAAAAAATTACAATTGGAAATTTGACTAATGAGAGATTTTTACAACTAACTTTTAACATATATATATATATATATATAGTATATATTTACAATAATTTAGATTCCGTAATTGATAAAAATAAATACAACGAAAAATTACAAAATTACTTGCAATACTTATATCATTGTAGGGAGAGTTTTGGGGTTGTTTTAGGTAATAATACTTAGTTTATAGTACAATTAGCTATACGCGCAATCGCTCACTGGAAAATCAAGAGGACCGTCAAGGCCACCTCTGAGAAATTGGTAGGGAATTTTCCGGCCAGTGAGCGATATTTACGGGTTTTCTTTTTGGGCTCTTTTCTTTTGTTTGTAGCTTATTTTTATGGTGGCTGCGATGCACTGGGATTGTCTCAGGTTGAGTTTTGGTTTCTCTGGTTTCTGTTGTTCCTTCGGCTTCTCATTTATCAAGTGGTGTGGCGTTCCAACCGAGCCGCCGGCTGATAGCAATTGAGATTGGCCGACATCCGACCCAGGGCGGCGGCCATGCGCGTTGGCAACCGGCTGAGCTGCTCCTGAAGATGAAAGGTTCGACTTGGAGGTGCTGCCGGTTGAAGGGTTGTGGCCTGCTGCAGCTGGGCCACCACCTCGGCATGCTGGACATAGGACACGCGTATATTGACGCCCTCATCATCCTCGTCATCATCCTCGCTGGCACTCTCCACATCCTCGTAGTAGGTGAAGCCCACCTGTTGCTCCTCCCGCTATACATCGCCGTAATACGGCACCGGTGTGTTCTGATCGATGGGCTTGACGCGCAACTTTTGCTTGTAATGGTACTCCTTGAGGTAGCTCTTCAGGCGTCCGGGTAGCTCCAGCTGATTGATCCATCGTAGCTGGTATTGGAGACAATGGTGGCACGTGCCAGCTGCTGCAGGGAGAAGGTCTGACGCCTATGGAGGGGTATGGTGAGGCAGGGCTCAAAGAACATGACGCAGGCGGGATCCTTGTAATGCTCCAGCAGACCGGTTACCGTGGGAGCAGTGAAAACGCAGGGATCATGGCAGTCGAAGCTGTAAAATAACGGGGAAATGATTATTAGTTGGGTTTATTTTTTAATTTAATTAATCCTGATATTTAAGTGTAGTTTATACTATTAAATTAAAGTTTAAATAAGCTGAAATTACGACTTAAAAGCAAGAGAATTCTAGAACAGATCCGGTATATAATATAAACCATTTTACTTTAGTCAGGAACTAATATAGACATGTGTCTTGAATCCCCTCAAGCTATTTCAAGTAATCATTCTATATATTTCTTGGAAATAAAGTTCAAAAACATCACGAGGCTTCATAAAATGATTAATTAAAATGCTTTCATTCATTCCACACTTAATCCAATTTCCTAGAATTCATTTTCAAAGTTCATTGAATATTATCTTTTATTATTATTATGTTAAAAGTGCATTGACTTTATTTTGATAAGGATGCTCACCTAAACTTGTGACCGCTCTGCTCGATGCGGGCATGCAGGGATCGACCGTATTTCCGGAATGTGACCGAGAAGAGGAACTCATCCTGGGCGGAATCACGCAACAGGAATGTACCCTCCGGCTTGCCCTCCAGCAGATGCTCTGCCTCATACCGATCCATCTTGCCCCAGTAGAAACTGCTATTGGTGATCTTCTCCAGATCGGGCACCAGGCAATGCATAAAATCGATCTGCGAGTGGACTGTAAGATTGCGGGTTCCGACACCGGAAACGGATGCCGCCGCCGTTGTGGCTATCAAGGGACGGGCCTGAGGTGGCGTCAGTGGCGTTAGGGGTGCAGATTCGGTGATGACTGTTACGCGGCCGCCACCAGGTGACTCCACCACAAAGCCAGGCGATGTAATCCTTATGATAACCTGATGATGCTGATGACTCGCATCTGGGACGGCCACCGAGTTCCGTTTCCTTTGATTCTGCAAGCGATGTTGCGTGGCACCGCTTGAGGCACCCAACGTGGGCGGCGTGGAACGTCGATCCGCTGTCCGGGATTTCCGTGACACGGTGGCCACCGTTGCTGCTGAGCTTGAAGATTCCTTTTTGCTGTGACCGGAAGTGCTGCTGCTGCTGTTGTTGTTGCCACCGGATGTGGGCAGCATGTCTCTGAGTCCACGGAAGGCATCCCGGCATTTGCATTTACAGCAACGCCGTTTGGAGGATGTGGCCGCCGATCCGGCAGCGGCATTAGAGGATGAGGAGGAGGATGTGGCTGCTCCCATGGATAGTGTCTTACTGCTGCGACTGCGGCAGCAACTGTTGCTATTATTGGTATTTCTGGAACCTGATTTCGGAGAAAAACAATCATTCGTTAATTGGGTTTCACTTGAAAATGGTTCAAAGAGAAAGCAGCGCCTGAAATTCTCCTTAATTTTGGCGTTCTTTTTTATATTTTTCATGCACAGCGAAAAGTATGTGTTTTTTTTTTTTTGGTTTTGCGAATTTTTAGTGGTTTATAATTTTTAATAATTTTTAATATTTTTTAGATTTATATAGATTTTAAGGGTAATAAAATATTGGAGATAGGAAATTATGATCCGTTTTTATGGTCACTTTGTGAATATCTTTATCATTCACTTAAATACATATATTTTTTTAATATAAAGTGTCGTAGAATAATTTTGTCTTGATAATTTATTTAAATTTCTATTCTATTTCTATTAAAATATGAAGCCACTTTTAGTTTAACTATTGTTTTTTGTTAAGCACTTAAATAAGTTGTTGTTTGGCAATTTATTCACTTCATAAACACTGTATTTAAACTTTTATAATATTTGTTATACTGGTTTTTATGAATTAATTTCAAATTATAATTCACATTTGGCTTGTTTTTGATTTATAACTTGATTTTAATTCACCAAAATTCATTGTTTAATTTAATTTAAGGCACATTTTTATTTTTTATTTATTATTACCACTTATTTTCGTCCAATGTTTAATTATATTTTGTTTAATTTGTTTAATTTGATGCAAGATAGGATCTTTTCTCATCGTGGCTTGAGATTTAAATTCCAAAACTGTCACTCTGATTTTATAGTAAAAATCTCAGATTGATAGAAAGTGATCACAGATTATTTTAATATTTAATATTAAATTAAAGACACTGATCCATTCATCAAGCTATTGAGTTTTTAAATAATACAAACAGCAGGCTGTCATTTGGCTTTTATAGCCTAAAATCACAGACTGATAAGACTTTCTCCGCTTGATAAGCATTAAATTTAAATAGTACTTTAAATTCATTGAAGACACTTCGCGATAATTGATAGAATTGTTCACTGATTATTTTCGCTGTGCATTAAAAATGAACCGGAAAGAGCGTAGGTGCTTCTCTTTTCTCTTTTCTCTTTGAATTTATTTGGAATTGAATACTATTATTATTATTATTTTTGATTGAACTTTTGCCCACCTTGCTTGCTGGTGTGTTGCGTCGCCGACGACGACATATTGCTAACTGGCAGCGACTCCAAGACCTCGTAGTACTCAACGACTTCGGCCTCGTTGTGGTTGTGGTGGTGGCTATTGCTCCGCCGTCGACGCAGCAGCGATTCATCCACCACATCGTCGTCGTCGTCGTCGTCGTCAGCGGCGTCGTTAGCGGCGTCGTTAGCGGCGTCGTTAGCGTCGTCGTGGTCGTGGTGGTGGTCGGCTCCCTCTCGGGATTCTCCGTTTCCCACGGCGACTGTGGGCCGTTCCTCTTGGCAATTGTTGCTGTTGGCGTCGTGCAATTGTAAAGTACTAATCGCAGCGCCGACGCTTCCCGCGAAATTGTTATTTTTTGGCGCTTCCGCTGAACTGCCCACCACACCCACCGCCTCCTTCACCACCCCCATGTCCCCCTCACCGGTTGCCCTTTCCAGCGTTACGTTCACAATCCGCTGCTGCTGCTGCTGTCCATTTGCATTGAGCGCGTCCGCAGACAATGCGGCGGCTACTTGATTTTCCTCTGTTTGCTGCTGCTGCTGCTGATGCTTCTCCACCTGCTGCTCCATTTTGGCCAATTGAATTTTAATTATAATCTGACGCAATTCTGCCCGAGATGCAACAGTGTCCCCACAAAGGATCTCTTTCACTTGGAGCTCCTCCTCGTCCAGGCCAATAGCCTCGACAATGGCTGCTGGTGCTCGGTCTGTGTTTGATCTGTGACTCTGATCCTGGCTATTGGCGCGTACAATGGCCTTACTGAAGTGATGACCCATTGGAAGCACGAAATGGGGGGTTGAGTCTTATTTCTGATGGGGTTTCCTAGGTGCGCTTTCTGGAAAGGAAATTAATATGTAAAAGTTAAGATTAGTCAAGGATAATTTCGGAAATTTATTGTTATAGATTCTGAACTGTTGAAAAACGAGCAAATGAACTTAGTTTTTGGCTAAAAAGTAGTTGCTTTAGGTACTTAAATATTAGTTAAATCTTTGATCATACATTATATTTCTTTCCTGGGGTCATTTTCCCTTTCCTTCATTAACTAAGCCCAAGAAACCTCCAGTGAACCCTTGGTTAATATTTTATTTAATTATTGCATTGCTTAGTTACTGTGAATATTTCGCAATATCCAGAAATAGCTGGGAGAAACGGGTTCTGTTCGTGTGAAATAATGTCTTGACCTACAGCAAAGATCCCAGAGTCATTTGACTGGGGGGCTTTACCAGTGGATGGATGCATTAATTACTCACATTCAGAGGAGAGGAGTTGGCATAAAGGGACTGGGACTCACTCACTCACTCACTCATTCCCTCGGTCAAATGGGTAATTAAAGGCTATTGTCTAAGTAATTATTAAAAAGATAGAGCTCCCTGCGATCTGTTACATGGAAAACAATTTTTCATTCATGTTGATTAGGAAATTATAATAAAAAATACAACTTCCAGAAAGTATCTCTTGTCAGCAAAGGATTTATCATTTTAAATTGTAACTAAAACCAATTTAATATTTCAATTTCTTCAATCTCCCCACGAACTGAGTCATCCCCCCCAAGGAGGAGAACGAGCAGGAGGAATGGTTTCATCTGGCGATGAACAAAAGGCCTGGCATTCCAATCCCACGCATCAGTTCTCCTCCCGCTAAGAGCGAGCACCAGTACACCACCAAATTGTAATGGTCTGTGATCCTACTTTTAGACCCTCGTCCGTAGGGAGATGATGAAATCAATGTGCAAACACACAAGTACTATATACACTCCATGCCATGCACGTAGCCCCCACGACGTAATCGTATTTCCATCTCCTCGCAAGTTTATTATCTTGGACAGCTAGGAAATCGGAAACCCCTATTCCGTAAGCTCTCATTCTGGGAAAAATCAACCAAGGGATCATTATTATTATTATTATTCACTGATAAATTCGTTTTAATTGGATGAGGGCTCGTCGGATTTACCCACGAATCCTAATCTTGCAAATGCGTCACTCTCCCTCAACTTCCGAAGTTTTGAGGCCATAAAAGGTGGAAACTAAGGTACACATGACAACACAGCACAGGTTGTGTGAGTGACTCACACATCCGTTGGCGGTTGAAATTCTTGGTAGTACCCAGAAATTGGCACGATGAGTTCACACTTTGGAGCTCTGCACTTCAGGTGGTTTCTTTCCCTCTTTTGTTTTACTATCAATGACGAAATAATTAGATCACCAATCAGCTATTATAGCCTTCTGATCGAATGTTCAGTGATCAGTCATGGATGGGCCATAATAATTCCATTAATGGCTGTCACTTCCTTTATTTAAAATTTTCAGTGGAAAATGGCTTGCATCATGCTTACTGTTAAATTTCCAACCAAAGTTCGCATTAAATTTAATATTTTATGGCATTTCAGGAATTATTATTTAGCTAGAAAATGTATAATAAATATTAAATATTATTATGTGCAAGTCCAGGGAAATTCAGAAAAGTTTACACAACATTCTAAAAGTTCCTTGTAAATAAATAACAACTTGACAGAAGTTTTCAGCAGTTCTAGGAAGACTTGATTTTAATTAAATGTATAATGCATAATCATTCAATATAATATAAGTTCAACAATGTTTTTAAAAACAAATGTGCATTGACATTTCAAATAATATTTACATCAAGTACTCTTATTAATTACTCTTGCTAATAAAGTTCATTCAAGGAAATATATTTCTGATTAAATTTTATATATAATACTAATAGTTCCAAGTCATTTATTTTTCAGAAAACTCAACAACTAATAGCAAAAATTTCCCATAATGACATGGCTTTATTTATAATTATACATAAATCAAAGACACAGTCACGCCTGTTATCAATACTGAATTAATTTTATACTCTATACGGGGCTATGTATAATATATTTTTTAGATAGCATCTCAATTTCCTGGGTACACTTAATCGGTGTTTTGATCATAAATTCCATATTCTTGCTAACGATTAGAATCGCTTTGCGTGAACTTAAGCAAGATTGTTTATCGCAGCGATTAATTTAAAATTACTTCGAATGAGCGACCATAGTGAAATGTAATCAACGTGTACATTACGGGGCTCAGGCTTATTCGGAAATTTCAATTTATCAGTTCCTAGAATCCTGCCGCATTTGCAATCAGAAATTTTGCAAGAATAAACCAAAACCATATAGATTTGATGGGGGAAATTCGCTAGAACAATGATTGCTCGACTGCTGCCTCTATAGAACTATGGTACCCTTGAGGAGAGAGTGGAGGTGGTGGTTACCTCTTATCTGCCGATACTATGCCATAGAGTACTCCGACCCTATTTCGTTTTCCCTGGAATTCCCTTGTGTTAATCATCACATACATTATCATTCCATGTACTACCAGTATGTATTTTGGGCGCCTAATCAAACACACAAACAAATAACCGAAGCTGTCGAACAATCCAGTCAATTAACAGTGCATATATTTTCACAACTTTTCCCAAAAAAAATAACTACAAAATGGATGGATGGGAAAATATTAAACAACTTCCCGGAAATGTGACACACAGAGACAATAGCAAACAGTCAAAAAAAACATAAAATTGCAGCTTTTTAACGAGAATTAAATATTGAAAAGTCAAGTGCTTAGCTGGAATACAAATACACGAATGGCGGAGGGCGATTCCGTTTAAATTATATACTTGGACTCCCCATAATAATTAGTATGCACCATTGGCTGTCTAACGGTAATTTGCACACGCTTATATGTAGATGCAGATACTTAGAGTTGCGATCAAAGATACTTTTATGCATCGACTGACTCGCCCGTGTGGGGCACGTGCTGCCATCGATTTATCGTACGATAAATATGAGTAATCAATACATTCTGACGGATCCAGAAGAGGAGTGTGTAAAGTATGACACGATCGTTCGCATTTAACCGATGATAATTATTACTTTTTACCCCGTAACAGAAGTGAGTCGTCGTTGTGGCCAAGAGCCACCTTTTGCGGTATACGTATGTATCTGTATCTGTATTTACGACTATGATGAAATACACAAAAGAGTGACTTGAACTCAAGATTCAACTTCAGATTCCAAGAGACCCGCATGAGACGGCGGCCAGCTAACAAAATTTTTCAATGGAAATACAAAACTGAAATGGCAGATAAACCGAACTTTGGGATTAACAAGGGGAACAAGGATGCACTGACGAAAAAAAGATACAAATGTATCTTTAAATAAAAAAATTGTATAACATAATGATTTTGTACAATTTAAGAATTATAAAGATACAAATAAAAAGGTACATTTGTAAGATATCAACTTAAACAAAAACAAATCTTTGCGCGAATTAGCTTGAAAGTTACACAAAGAAAATTATAGATTAAGATATAAAATATTTGAACTGAGAAATAAATTGGGATTTAAGCGAAAAAAAACTTGAGAGTAACAGATAGGAACTTATAGATTAAGATAAAAAATATTTGAACTGAAAAATAACTTGGGAGTCCTAAGGTATAAATAAATATTTATGCTAGAAATAAAATTTTTTTATAAAGTTGGTTAAAATCAATTTCTGTAGTATTTTAAACCAAATTGAAACAAGTAAGGAAAGTAACTTCGGGTAGCCAAATGATATTTACAATTAACAATTGAATCATAATAGGATCTAATGGAATATCGTTTATAACTAAGATATTACTATATTAAACAAATTTCGAAAAATCAAAGTTTAAAAAACTCTTAACTAAGCCAAAAAAAGCATTATTTTTAATTGGGAAATCTTTCCTATGCTTGTTTTTATGAGGTAAGTAAATCTGCATACTAAATATAAAGTTTTAAAAATTGTAGTTTTTATGAAATTATCAAAATTTTAATAATGTAAATTTATTTATAAAATTTTGAAAAAAAAAATTGTTCTATTGGCTAGATGGCTAGATCGACTCTGCTTTTGATGCTGATCAAGAATATATATAATTTTTGGGGTCGGAAATGAATTCTTCACAGGGTTTTAACCTTCTGACTTATACTAAAATACCCTGGAAGGGTGGTAGATTATTCTCTCAGTGCACCTGGATTTGGCTTAGGTAGCACAAGGCGATCCATGACTCACTCCCTGCCACAATGGGTAGCAGCAGGCTGACTCTCCGTCCGAGGGGCAACCCGGGAGTCCCGGGGCAAAAACTACATTCAACCGCGTGCATTTTATTATCAACCAACCCAGTAGTATATATTCCGAGGGCTCGTCGAGCTGAACTTTTTCGCTCCTCTCTCTTTACATTTGTACGGTGAGTATGTTTTTCCTTCTCTCCCCCCTCTTCGTTTTCTGTTGTTGTTACCAAGCGGAGCCCAGCGAGCAGCTGAAGTTTTTCTGCGCCGTTGCAGACAATGCGAAATTTCGTCAGAAATCCAAATGCGGATAATGATCTAATACATAACTTGTTCGGGGTAAAAATGTTGATAAATGTTGCCGGGGCTGGCTGAGAGAAAGAAAGCCAACACCACGAAGTGGCTTGAATGGCTAATAAGGGACTGGCTACTACCAATAAATGGGGGATTCACCCTCTAAAAAAAAAAAATCAACAACAAGAAATATTCAGTGAAAATTTATGCCAAATGTATCTCATAAATTAAGATAAAACAAAAATTCAAAATATACAAAAAGTAGAGCAAGAAAACTTGTATTTCCATGTATAACTAATTTATACACAACTTTTGGATTTGGAAAACACTTTATGCAAACTATAAATATCTAAAAATAGACAAAACTCTTGATGAAACACTTTATATGAGAGATAATCTAAGATAAAAACAGGAATTTACGTTAAAGAAATTCCCACAATATTCCGAGAAATACAAAATCATAT